ATAAGATGAGCGTGATCAAAAATCTCCGGATTTGTTTCGTATAGAATTAACGGTTAATTCAACAAATTAACGGTTAATTCAACAAATTAACGGTTTTAAATTAAACTTTTTCAGTGTCAGGCGTACATAAATCATATGTACGCCTGATAGTGAAACAGTTTATTTTATCATATCTTTTCATATTTTATCTTTACCATATCTTTTTATCAGGCGTACAGAGTTCTCGCTGTTTATTTGTCGCTTGACTGGTAGAGTGTTCTCTTAGGTGTTCCTAATGGTGTTAAGTCCGCCATTGTACGTTATTGTGCATAAAGCTTTTAAATAAAATAAATAATTTGAATGTCAGTTGCTTTTCGCACAATCAGTCCTGCATCGTTCTTTCCCGCGTTAATGAAATTAAGTTGTTATCCACATAATTTATATGTGCTATGTTGTAATTATAATATACACCGAGGCGTTATTTTACTTTATTAAAGTACATGCATTAGTAATGATTGCGGCTTCACTTACGGAGGCTATTATAGAAGCAATTAAAATATATCAGCATGCCTACTCAATAAACACCAAAACAATGGTGTGAATTGTCATACTAAAGAAAAAACAAACTAATGTTTGTCTGTCTTCGACGTTTTAAAATAATAGTTTATTAAAACACTTCCTGGAAGAAGTCGCGGGTACAGATTGTAGATATTAAAGAGTATAAAATAATAGATATTATAATATAAAATATTATGAGTACTAACCATAGGTGTGGCATGCAGTGCGAACCGTCTTTGTAGTTCGTCATATACATCAGGTTCCACAACCAGTAACGGCGGCAGTCGTTTGACTCTTTAGCTTCATGAGCCTGAAAATTCAATAGAGAATTCATTTTAAATATCACATGAATCTATATAATCAAGTTTTACGGTGGTAGGGCCAAGCAGCAGCCTCGGTTGTTGCACGAATGGGCAGGCTCATCCGGGTAAGTAGCACGACCTCACAGAAGACCAGCGTGAAGTGGAAGTATGACAAATACTTTCGCGTTTCGTCTGGTGAGTGGGTTGCCGGAGCCCAATTTTCATAAGGCTGTCAACGCATCTGTTATCCTATATAATAAAAACTGAACATATCAATTTTGGTTATGTCATATTGTGAAGAGAATAAAAATGTTGTTTTTGTATACAATATAAAGGGATGTTTTCTAAGTTTATCCATTTTTTTAATTAATTTAATATATATTAGTGTAATTTGAAATCGGGTTTGGCCGGTAACTAATACATGTATATTTTTATTTATAATTTATATTATATAATTCAATAGAATATTATCAATAAATGTCTGCTTACCTGCCACAAAGGCCCAGTACCCATAAATCTCAACCATGTCGTCGTAATTGCTAGAAAAATAGCTGTTGGTGGTGTTAATCTGAAATTTAACAGAAAAAAATTCAAAATATATTGAGAAAACCTGAATATTTTATAAATAATACAAAAAAAGCAATAAATCGAAGATATGTGAAATTTTCTCAAGGTGTACACCTAACCTTTTTACAGAGTGGCCTATCACTTGTTTTAATATAATGCTGTATTTTTTCATTATTTTGTCTAAGCTATTTATATCTCTTATCCTTTAAACGAGCAATTCTTGTATGTATATATATAATCGGAATCTCGGAAACGGCTCAAGCGATTTTCATGAATTTTAGTATAGAGGAGAGTAACTAAATGTGGGCTAGTGCTTTAATATGGGCTAGTAACAATTCTCGAAAACCTACAATCGAAAGACTCAAAAAACGACGATCGTCTATCGCATTCATTCTCTCTAATATAGCACTCACTCATTCTCGTCATTCGCGCGCAAGTTGTCGCCAGTGTCGGCCATATTTGTGTTGCTGCTGTCGAAAAATTTTCTGCGGTACGTATCAATGTGTTATTTAATGAATGAAAATTAGGTTTAAATACTATAGCTATGTATTTTATTGAAGAATATAAGTTTAATTTTATGATTTTCGGTCGATTTATTGCTTCCTATTATGATTTGTAAAGTACATGATTAAGTTGATTTTAGTAAAGAATTTCGAATATGGGCTATGATTATGGTCCTGAATATGGGCTATAATCAAGGTCGGAGACTCAAACAGAAGAATCTACTTCTGGAACTGGACATGATCCAACAGATAACTGTCAACCTTCGTCTTCCGGAATTCATCGTAGCATTCTAGGTTTAGTATCTCCTTATGACATAAGTCCCATGCCAAAAAAAGTCAGAAAGACAACTAATATAGGTAGAAAAGCTGCTGTGGCCTCGCTTATAACTTCGTCTCCATATAAAAATGACCTTATTCAAACAAATAATAAGAAAATTGAAAAAGAAAATAAAATAAAATATAAGAAACCCAAGCAAAAGCAAAGAAGTATTCCTATACAGAAGTATTCCTATTTCCTAATAAGAAAGCCAAGGACGAACTTGAAGTTGAAGAAGATATCCAATTTGATTCAGATAGTAAACCAGATGCCCCTATAGGAAGAGAAGCTCCTGACACTGCCGACGCAGCATGTATGTTTTGTCAGGAACTTTTTTCCGAAAACGCGGCAGGAAAATTGTGGGTCAGATTTAATGTGTAAGCTCTGGGCACATACCTAATGACTGTGCTGGGCCAGAGTTTGACACCTGGATATGTGATTTTTGTAAGTAATTATGTGATTTCTTCCATGTACCAAAGTAATTTGATCTCTTATAAGATAAATATTTATAATTGTTATTTTTGTACAAGATATTTTAAGTTTCTATTTGTAGCCCATATTTGAGTACCTGTTCCATATTTTGCGCCTAATTTGATATTTTGTTTAATGCTCAATTTAATAGTATATTATAATATTAAGAATATAAGATTTTTAATTAGTTCTTTAAAAATGTATGTGTAATTATTTTGACGTCAATAAATGGTTAATTTTTTAATAGTTTTTTATTTTTGAGGCAAAAACAAAATGGTAGCCCATATTTGGTTACTCTCCTCTATGCGTAGATTCGGGGGCGAAAAATCGATCTAGCTAGGTTTCATTTTCAGAAAATGTCCTTTTATCCCTGTTTTCAGGGTTTGAAAAATATCATTCCATAAGACGGTAAATTTCACCGAAAAAAAAATGTTATAATAGCTCGGTCGGTAATCGGGCGGCCGCTAATAAACAGCCACGAAACAGAAGGCCGTGGTTCGTATCACGATCATTTACACATATATTTTTTTTTTCGATTTGTTATTTTGTTATTTTTTTCCCTTTTTTTTAAATTTCTTTCTTTTGTGAAAAACGTCACTTCATATTTTCTTATTATTACGTCTCGGTAAGATCGAAAAATATTATGCATATTTCATTACTCAGTAATTTGTATCTAAATGTAATTTCCAAAACACATGATTTACCAAAAAAAAAAAAAAAACAAACCGAGCAAAGCTCGGTCCTCGGTCCTACTTTATCTTAATTATAGTTAATACATTTAAGTTATTCATCCTTATTTAAACTTTTAATACTGTTTTCAAAGCATTGTAACTGCATTTGAATATTGTGTGTCATAACGGGCATATGTATGATATGATTATCTTTATATTTTGTACACGATAAAACACACTCTTAACACACAAAACAGACCATTGCTTTGCAGTGATAACTTATTACTTTTTTAAAAAAGCATTGCCCTGACTGTAGTATAACTGTATCCTGTGTTGTGAGGAAGTTTTACATGCACACATTTTATGTGGAATAACACCCAGATGTGAATAAATTATCTGTGGACCACACAAATAGTTGTCCCGTGTGGGAATCGTACCCACGGCCCCCGGTGCCGAAGCCCATACCTTGGCAAATACGCCACCGGGTCGATTGAATTGAACATCAAAGAAATAAATGAACAACAACACAATAAACATCGAATACGTTACTTTCCAAAGAATAATTCATTAACATACCTTAACCACCTCTTAAAAATATTAGACGGTATTTTCGTCCATTTCATTTCCCTTGTTTCGGACGATCTCTCCATATTGTAGGCTATCAAACATCCCGACATAATGAAGAAATATTGAACTATATACATCCCGTTTATTAACATGTGATATGGTAAAATATAATACGCCTGTAATGAACACATTTATATGATATTTTATACATGCTGTGGTAGGGCCACGCAACAGTCTTCGCAGGAATTGGCAGGACCTTCCGGACTGGCTTGGCTTTTTGCAGGAATGGGCAGGACCATCCGGATAAGTACCACGACCTCACAGAAGATCGGCGTGAAGCGGGAAGCGGGGCATACTTTATTAAAAGGTAGTAACGCATCTGCAACCGTACGGGTGTTGCATAATTCAATGGGCGGCGGTTATCACTTAACATCAGGTGAACCGGCAGCTCTCTTGCCACCTCCTCACATAAAAAACACTCAATTATCTTCTTTCACAATCCGTTTATACACTGGAGAACAATTAATAAAAATACATAAAGGAAATTCAAAAAAAATATATTCTAGCAATACTACTTGTATATTTAAGAGTCAAAGAGAGAATCTTTTAGGAGCGTTATGCATGTATAAAAGTTGTATTGCAACTAGTATGTGCATATTGATACTATTAATGTATGTCTAATTAAATAAAAAAAATGAGTCTGTTCAGATTTTTGACGTGGTAGGGTCTCGCAACAGAATCCTCTGTTGCACGAATGGGCAAGCCCGTCCGCGGTAGTACCACAGCCCAACAGAAGACCGGCGTAAAGCTTTATGCTTCTGCGTTTCATCTGGTGAGTGAGGTTGCCGATGCCCACCCCCCTTCTTCTATAACATGCTAGCGTTATCGGTGAAAAACCTACCTTTCGGCAACTCCTTCCACGCTCTTTCGGCAATACTTTAAAGGATGTAATTTCCTACATAAATATAAATTAATGGTCACGCCTGCCATCTAGAAAAATGAGCAGCTATGAATAATATCCACTTTCCAAAATCTTTGCACCTTTATATAATTCTCCCAAAGTCTACATATACGCTCCATACGCGTCGTTACATGTACTTACCTCTTCAATATATCGGGTGTTGCTAGCGGATATCGTCAAAGGCAAAAGGCAATGTGCTGCTATTAAAAATATCATCATCATGGATCTGAAATTTCGAAATTGGAAACGTTACTTTTGCACTCGGGAAGACAGGTGGGGTTTTATACACATTCATATTTATAGATTTTGAATAGCAGCTGTTATAACTAAATTCAAGATCTTATTTAAATGAGAATTATTTCATTTGATATTTACACACTTTTTTATAAAATAAAATATATATAACATTCTTGTTAACTCTACAGTTATCATAGTTTTTTTATTGACATCTATAAGAAATAATGCAGCAGTTAATACACATAATGTGTAGTACTGCTGGCGTCAATTTAACTATCTAACCCCATTGTTTTTTACGCACGCTTATCTTGGGGAGCAAACTAGTGAATTCGTAACGAGAGTATTACGAAAAATGTGATGTTACGCGAACGTTGATTTCTTGATTATTTCGTTCCTGGACAATTTTATAAATTAATATTTTGTTCAATATACTAAATATTCAACGTTTAAATTGGATAAAATTGTTAATTCATACAGATAGAGATACAGATTACATATAGTTGGAGCTAGAGAAGTTTTACTCCAGTTGCGTGGTCTAAAGCACACGTTTAATTTTTTTTTTATTTTTAGAGTATTGTCAAGAGTGCACACGATTGCTGGTACGTTTACTGTATCAAGCATAGTGGTTAAGCCAAAAAACTTTGTAATAAAAGGTCCAGCATAAACGAAATCGTGAAAACTAGAAAATAGAAAATGTAGTACTAGTAGTTATGCTTAAAATTTTTTACTTTAAGTACTAACCTCAATCCATCAAAACCTTTCAATCTTTCCACAGTTGGCTCGGATCTGTTGCCACTTTTGGTCAACCTAGACCAATTGCGCGGTATTGAAAAAGCCAAAAACATATCTACACCTAAAGAAAAAGATTTACACTTACAGTACATAAAAAAACAATGCAGTGCTACTATCTCATAATTATATTTAAAATAATGAATCGACGAGAAAACAAATAAATATTCCCCACAAATAAATCATTCAAATTATATCAATTATACTGTTCATTCAGTTTAGAGCAAAAAACTTACATAATTATGATGAAATCAATAATGAAAAAGAAAATGTATATAAGAAAAATACATATAGTTAACAAAATTAGAAAATCATACCTTTATGTCGTGGTTTATTCGGGAATTGCAAATCATAAAACGTAGCCGCAATATTAAGGGTGACAATGAATACACAAATCATCGCAACAAATATATCCCATTCATCTAACTCTATATTTTTATCTGTGGGGTAACATATTGGATGGGTTGTCAGCCTAGCCTTGAGCCTGTATCGTTGCCATAAGGTATTATTTAGGCATCCCTCAAGGACGTTGTGTCGGTCCCGTAAAGTTGCCTCTTTGCTTATGTTACAAGTTCTCGTAACACATACTCCGCGGTAAAGACTGCTGTAGTTGTAATGAGTTAATTTACGCTCCGAATAATTCTGTTAGACAGTAATTAATAGTTCTTATTAGTTTATATGCACTAATATTTTAAAAATAATTTTTAGATTATACCAACTTGATAATCATTAAAATAACCGAGCTTGGCTTGGTTTTGTTTCGGAAAATCATGTATTTTTGTAATAAAAAAATAAAAATTAAGAAAGCAATGATCTGATATAGAAAAAAAAGTAAAAAAATAAGTGTGTAAATGATCGTGATACGAATCACGGCTGTCTGTTTTGGGACCGCCCCATTACCGACCGAGCTATTTTTTTGCACCGAAATTTAATTAAGATTTATATATAAGAATTGCTCGTTTAAAGGATAAGATTATTAAAAACCGTGAATATAAAATGTGTTGCATTCGAATATATACAAGAAGATTTATTATATACATTCGCATAAAGATGCACACATATATAACACACGTCTGTTGAACAATTAAAATATTCAAAAATGTATCTCTACGTCAAATTTTTCCTTGTAGTTATGTTCAGTGCCTAAACAACACAAAGTATCGAATTAGAATGCATAAGTCTTATAGCAACCCTTCTCCGAGGCGTGATCACGCCCAGACCTGAGGAAGCCCGTCGCGTTCCATAGGAGATCCCAGAGTCCGTCCAAATGTACAGAAGGTGGCCACCGAGGGAGTTTTAGTGGGTTATACATTATTAAGACAAAATACAAATATTAAATCATTAATGACAGGGTTAGGTGGGTATATAGTATATATCGTACGAAGTATAGTAGTATATATAGTACGAAGACTTCCCCACCGATTCCCCCACGCTTATAAGGTAACAAACATAAGCAATGTTACGTCTTTCTGTCAGAGGTAAAAACTCCTCCTCCATATTATTAAATGATATTAAATAATATAGAGGAAGCATGGCCATACTAAGTGACGTTTAAAAATTGTTCAGCTTTACGTTATATGACATATACAAATGATTGTGATAGATGATACATAATGCATAATGACAGATGACACATATAAAGCGATATCAGTCAAATTACAACAATTAGTGTAATTTGAGTGCCTCAGTTTCGTTGCGCTAGTGTCATATCTGTTGTACCTATATAATATCATTTATTGATCACTCCGATTTTTGTTAGTCTACATAGATCAACATAACGGAGAATACATTTTTGTATACCCTCGATACAAGACTTATAGAGTTAATATTGCCGATTCCAAATCGGTGACGCATACTCCATGCTATTGCGCAGAAAAGGATAATATGATCATTTGGATCTGATTAACTTCGCCACAGAAACTGCACATAATCGAGCAGAATACGTTGTATAGTTCGCAGAACAAAACCTCTCATTGTTTTGAACGTACGGTCACAGACTAGGCCGAGACAGGATGGGTTCCATCTCTGCACCAAGTATCGATTGAAACGTTCACTGTTAGTTATACCATCGATGAATAAAACTATTTTTTTACGGATTTATCGAATTTATTTTTAATTTTAGTTCCCGACGTTATAATCCGTACAAATACTTCCGTTTAGTAATGTGTAATCGAGTAAATACAAGAAATTATTATCAATACACCAATTTAGATATTTGTTTTGGTGAGCAGTCCCCGTACAATTTGGTAAGAAATATTAAGTGGCTTCGTGACTAAAGTCAATAACAACCGTATACTAAGTCTCGGTAAAAATAATTAACGGCAAACGCTTATTATGATAACTAATTACGTAGAAGTTGGATTAAAAGTAATGATTATCATGTAAAAGATACACCATTAGAGGAACTTTCAAATAATGAACCTTATTACCGAACAAAGTCTTAGGATAAAAAAGATACAAATAAATATCAATGGAATAAAGTGGGTAATTTAGTTATACCCAACAATATAAACTGAATAAAATAATAACCTAAACGAACAAAAGTTTGCAAGATAATGTAAGCATGTAAAAAGATTACTAAATCCATAGTTGAATAAATTAACCTTATTACCGAGAAAAAAGAAACAAAGAAAACATTGATACTTATAACCCACTGCCTCGCCATTTCATATCACTTTTTAGACACAACGGTTATAACATTCTTAACATTCTTACCTACAATAGCAAGTGGTATAATAACAATAACGCTTTCTAAACTAGGAAACAATCTTGTTTCAGGGCGACAAGACTTAAACCCAGAAACATAGAGTATATCCAGACAATGGGCGACTAGCAATGGATGACACCATCTAAAAATCATCGCAAGAATGAAAAGCTTAACTAAAAGATTGTAACATGAACAGATTAGAACTTACTGCACGGCGATAACAATTAAGGAGAACGCGTGAACAACGCCAAGACGAAAGTCGTAAAACGATAAGTAAACTGAAATATTCACCCGAATTAAATTGAGCAAATCGCTTGGTGTGTCAGACACAAATACCAGTTCCGTGGTGCAGTATAAAGGCTCCAAATCGTACATGCATGCATCGTAATCGTCCAGAAGCGAAATGGGTGGCAATCGTTCAAATTCCGTTCCTGTAACGAGATAATTAAAATTATTCTTTAACCAAACCAAACGACGACAAAGGCATTCTTGGAATTCATGACTTATGGTGTTCCTAAGGTATTAAATTAATAAAGGGATTAGAGCGTATCGGAACAAAACTCAACCTTGAGGTACCGTTGAATGTTTTTAAGATTTTAGTTAATAGAAAATCGTATTACAAAATCGCAGTAATCTTATTTATGACCATAAAGAGTCGACTACGCATAAAATGCTAACTTTATACGGTCAATTAGCCCACTTACCGTTAAGTCTGTATATAACTCCAAACGTTTGATGTATCATAAAGACCAAAAATAGAAAACTAACTCTCAATCCTTGCGCCATTTTTACATTAACACATGCACTTATCCCTCAAAAATCCGTAGTGAAGGATGACTATTACAAAATAAACGAAGTTCCGTCGTACAATTTCTAGGTGAAGACCACTCAATGTTCATTTTATTTATGCGCTTTTTACAGTCTAACAAAAGCAATATAAGCAGCCGATTTAAATGGTAGACTGGCAACAGCTTTGTTGTTTCGTTATTACAAATTTTAACTATCGTTAACTAAGCGACGAGTCGCAAAAAACTTTAATTTTATCACAGCAGTATGATAATTGTATCTGATAGTAGTAATGAGGGTCATCACGAATCTGACAAACGTTTTATATAATAAACATTGTATATACTTCAGTTATTCTCACAGCATCTTGCCGTACGGCATTTTGTTGTGGGGTTGTGCATCTGATATAAATTGCTATATTTATCCTACATAAAAGAGCTGTCAAAGCAAACTATAATGCAGCAAATAAAACAAAAAAAAGAGATGAATATACTCACTGTTGCTTCTCAATACATTTATTGTAACATTTTGTACATTCTTCATAAGCATCTATTTGAATAAAGATTGTTTGATTGATATAGTCAGGAGTGAAATATTAATTGGCTAATTAATAACTAACATTACCTTCTATCCCAGCTGCTAACATTTTAGTACATCTCACTCATTTCGATAAGGAAAATACTGAGCTATGATAAACGCATCTAAGCACTTGAGTTAAGTATGGTAAAACAATGTCTACTGCATTAGAAAGCTTCGAATAACCAAATAAATGGATACAGATTCCCTAAAAGTCAAGTCATCTGCTGTTTAAGAAATCCATTTTTAAGAGAGAAAAATTTAATTTTTCAAGAAACAAGGAAGAACAAGCTTGGATTGTACAATTTATATTTTTTTTATATAAAAACCGGACGTAAAAAATAAATCTTCCTAAGAACGAACGCATTGAGTTAATCTGCATAAGTATCAAAAAAGCTTAACGACTCTCCGGAAAAATAATTACTCCGGATAACGATAACTCTACGGCTGTTATAAATACGCCGTATTAGAATTTTTAAAAGAGAAGAACTACTATCTGACGTAAATAAGTATAAAAAGCGTACAAATTACATAAAATGAAAAACGAACAACAAGAAATTGCGATACAAAACACTCCGATAAATTAAATGTGGACGTCATATTGAATATGCTTCAAACTAAACTTCTATGCTTCAAACCAAACTTGCTTTAAACGGTGGTAGGGCCACGCAGCAGCCTCGGCTGGTCCATGACCTTTCGTCTGGTGAATTAGGTGGCCGGAGCCCTATTTTCAAAAGGTTGTCAACGCATCTGGAACCCTCTGGTGTGCCAAAGGTCCACGGGCGGCGGTATTCACTTAACATCAGGTAAACCATCTGCTCGCTTGGTAACTTTTCAAAAAAAATTACCTAAATTATATTAGTTGCGGAAAATATCTGCGTAATAAAATCCAAGTCCATTAAGTCTACATGTGACGTGTATGCTTCCTTGCTTAAAATTACCTCACATTGGGCTAAGTATTGTGGAAAGAAGAATTCTACATACAGATGAATGCTGTAGCAATGGGTTACCCAGTTTCTAACATTGTTGCTGACATAAATAAATGAAGGATTTCGAGGAGAAGGCCCAGTATGTAGATGGCACTCTCACATTTCGCACCCTACGTAGAACAACGTGACATCTGCAAAATTATATTTATTGTTCAGGACGGCCGATTAAATTACAACTTTTTATTTTGGTTACAGTTTTCTTATACATAGCAGTTGCCATTACAATGTTTGAGGTTTTTAATATAATTAGGTATATAAACAAACAGTATACTTTTTGAATAACTAATTACGTAAATTTAGAAAATAATATGTTTCATATTACGATTCATAAGCACGCGCAA